CCACAGAGACGAGGATGAGGATTATTTTCAACTCCCGATGACGGGGTGTCCTGCCCCATCCCGTTGTCATCCCTAGCTATGCGGCCTAGTTAGTGTTTAGGAGGCTTAGACGATCAGTGCCTAAGCGGCCTCCTAGTCGGCCGGCCGTCTAGACTACCAATTATAGTGATATGTTAGGCGGCCGACTGACGCCTAGTAAGATTTTTACAACACTGCTTAATAATGCAATGCTAACATTTTTTTGTTTACTATTAATAACTCTAACCCCTACTTGCCCAAATGTATTTACACCATCAATACTTTTTTTTTTTTGAAGTAAATAATTTTGCCGTATTCAATTCAAACACGAAATTAAATTAAAGAATAATGATTACTATGGTTGAAGCTGGCGAACAATTTGGTACATGTGTTGGGTATACTACACAATTTGGACACATTAATTGAGAGGAGAGCTGAGCCTAGAACAGAAAAGTAATGGAGAGAAACAAAAATGATAACACAGAAATCACTGCAACACCCCACGTGTGGCACTGGCACGTGCAGTACACTCTCCAATGACACCAACTGACTAACCTGCACACTGATTGGACTGTACCCTCACATTAACCATTTTTGAGTGTTTGGGTGTTGACAGTCACACCCTACCCCCCCTTTCACCATTACTCATCACCACGTACCACCTGCAATAAAAGACAAATTCCTTGTTGGCTATGCTATATATATGATACATTATTATAAAATAGAATTAATTTCACTTTTGGTCCAACAACTTTTGATGTTCTATCACTTTTGGTGCATAATTTTAAATTTTTTTAATTTTGGTGCATAACTTTGTTATTTTTATCAATTTTGATCATTTCGGCTAAATTGACAGCTAAATGTTGCTGGATTTTATATTGTTAGGGGTAAAATCGTCATCCCAAGAAAAAACATCTTCAGTATCTAAACAAAATCACCGTAAAATCATATCTATAGGTGTTTGATGATGAGAATAATGGGGAAGATGGGCAGAAACCAGACAGATCTATGGGATTTATAGTTTCGACCATTGGAAAACTCTTCTTTTCCTCTTAATATGATTTTTCTTTTGTTTAAATATTGAAGATCTTTCCATGTGATGACGATTTTGCCCCTAAAATATAAAATCCGGAAATATTTTACCGTCAATTTGGCTGGAAGGACCAAAACTGATAAAAATAACAAAGTTAGGCACCAATATTGAAAAAATTTAAAGTTGTGCACCAAAAGTGTTAAGAACTCAAAAGTCGTGGGACCAAAAGTGAAATTAATTCTTATAAAATATCAAAGATACATTGGAGAGAGAAATAACATTATATCAATTTTTATTTTAAATATATGAAAATCACCATTTTAGTCCCTCCGATCAATTATTTATCAATTGTATATGTAGCGTATAGCTTAGTTTTTAATTTTAACTAATTTGATAATCAAATTGTTTAAAATTTTGTCAATTAAACCCTTTCGAGAGATCAAAATGGTGATTTTTCTATTTTTTAAATTTTTATATTTGATCCTCGAAGGGTTTAATTGATGAAATTTTAAACAATTTGATGATCATCAAATTAGTTGAAGTTAAAACTATGGATTACATGACAGTTGAAAAACAATTGAGGGGCCAAAATGGTAATTTTTTCTTATATTTATCTCAATTTATCTACATTCAATTTTATAATTTACTCATATGTTTTATTCAAAATTTTATTTCAAAAAAATTGCACTCCAGATCAATCTCGAGAACTTTATCGCTCTTTGAAAATTTAGTATAGGAGATTAACGGTAAGATATGTCTTAATTGGCTCATAGTCTACCAAATACTATGAGTGTTGAGTCTGAGATGGTGTAGTGTTAATAATGTTTGGTGTTTTTTAAATTGAGATTCTTTATTTTGCTAATGAATACAAAAATGTTTGCATAGTTTTATGTCAAATTCTTGATCAATTTAGCAAAACTTGTTACTTGTTAGCATATAATATGATGTGCCACAATGCATCAAAGATTTATTGTAAAGCACTATAAATTAAAATTCTATCAAAACCCAATATATTAATGTTGGGCGGAGACCTGGATATTAAGCTCAGCATATTGTCATTGAAACATTGTGAATGCAGATAAATAGATAAAATTGTGAATTCGTTACTAATTATAACTTTTGACATAGTGATAATCATTTGATATGATATTTGGTATCACAATAGGTCTAATAGTGCAACTAAGTATGTATGTGTGGGCAAGAGTTCTCACATTCAACTTTTATTCTTTATATATATATATATATATATATATATATATATATATATATATATATGTACAAAAAAATTAATTTAACAATTCTTAGCAAGAGCTGGGTTTTAAGTTCATTGTTTTTCTAAAGAAAAAAAAATAATTTAAAGCCACTTTTTTTTTTCAATTTTAATTTAAAATTTTTAATTGATGCTAATTATAGTAAACAAACTTTTTCACTTTAGATCAATTGGTTTTTTATTTTTTAAATATTTACGTTTAAAAGGAGTTGAATGTTGACTTTTAATGAACTACATGTTCACATATGTATATGGCATCAAACATAGTGATCATGGAGCATCAGCATTCATTCTCCTTATGGATATGAGAGAGAATGAAACCCAAACAATTTTAAAATAAAAAAATAAAATAAAATAAAAAACACCCACCCATATAAATTAAACTTATCAATTAATCACAATCTAATTAAATTTTATTTCATTGTTTAATTTTCTTTGATAATAAATATGATTTTGCACTAGATGGACTTTTCTTTGAAATAATGCCTATCTAATTAAGTTTTACTTAAATAGTTAAAGTTTCAAGATTTTCAAAAAAAAAAAGTTAAAGTTTCAAGAGAAGATATGGAAGAAAATTTAAAATATAACATGAAATGGCATATAAAAGCTTTGAAGTGTTTTTTTTTTCTTTTCTCTAAAAAAAAAATGGTGTGTCACCGATTAGTCGGCGCCTAGGCGCTAAACATTGGCCGACCGCCTAGTGTATCACTGATTGTAGTAAATTTGCAAACAAATAATACCTGGAGTATCGGGTAATCGATCCACAGGGAACTAGGATACTATGCACTAGCTACTAGATTACTCACGTGAAGTTAATCCTAACAAAATAGATGATTTGGTAATTGTAAAAGAATAACTAGCAAAATAAACTAAATAATAAGCAAGTTGTTGAAACAATAGAGCAAAATGGGATTCTTGGGATCTAATGTTTAATCCCCTAGTGTCAGTCAAAGATGCAATATATATCTAGTTCGGGTTTAAACCAGTAGTGTGAGAATGCAGAAGTGGAATTGAGTTACTCTCGTAATCTCTACTCCTAGTGAATATTCACTCTCGTGATATAAACACTCAATAAGAACATGAATCAACATTCGTGAATTCATAATTATTACCATCTCTCGATGTGCAATATTCAAGGATAAATTCCTCAACAAATATTCCTTTCTCAAGGTGCAACAGTTAACTGTAATTGTGTGTGCCCTAATTACGCTTAACTCTTGTTATGACATGAATATGGCTGTGAAGCAAGTAATTTAGGCATTTAATTACTAGCAACGACAAATTGATACGCGATTGCAACACAAGTAATAAAATCAGACATAAATATATTAATGAAATTAAGCTCTTAGCACATAGGTTCATAAACAAATTCACCCAAAAATCCCTAAGGTGTTTTAGCCACTCATGACCATAATAGCATTCAATACAAACTCAGAGAATAAACAATCAACAATTGAAGTAAAAGAAAAAGGGAATGAGTTCTCCTGAATCTTCCTAGAGATTTCTCTCCTCCAAAGCCGATTGTAGATCTTGATGTTGTTCTTCTTGATTTTGCTCTGTTCTTGCCTCAAAAAACGCAGTCTGAACCCTTTAGGGTTGATGGAAGGAAGTCTTTTTATAGTGGAAACCAAATGGGGGCAATTTAGGAAGATTTCGCGCTTTGAGAAAATTCTAGAACCCGCGATCTCGACGCGTCGAGAATATGCTCGACGCATCGAGCCTCTGTAGCCTTCCTCAGGATCCGGTTCTGGAAATTCTCGAAGCGTCGAGCCTTCGATCTCAGCTCAACTTTGGCCTCTGGAATTTTTGGACGCGTCGAGCCTAGGGCTCGACGCGTCGAACCTTCAATACCTTCAATCCAACTTCATTTTGACTCCATTTATACTTGAAAGACCTCCCTTGCTTTTGCAATTGTCCTGTAATGGCTTAAAAACACTACCAAACACCGTAAAACGTTCAAAGCAAGTGTAAAACCATATCCTAATGAGAAAGTAAGTAAAATAGGCGCTGAATATGCAAATCTAATGAACTTAGGCTTTCAAAATGATTCAAATTGCTAGTTAAAACATGTATAATTGAGATTATATCAATCACCATAATCGGTGGTCTAGCTGGCCGACTAGGCGCCAATCGCCTAGGCCTCCTAGGCGCCGACTAGTCCTCCTAGGCACCGACTAGGTCGCCTAGTCGGCCGATTAGCTATTGTTCCTTTCTTTTTTAAATGGTTATTTCGCTCAAGACGACATCGGAATAACCCTAAATTGTTCAAATTCTAAATGTTTTTTAGGTTAATATTTTATATTTTAATATTAACTATTAAAATATTAAATAATTTATAATTATCAAATCTTTAAAAAATTAAAAAACTTAAACAAATTTTTAAGAAATAAAAAATATACCGGCGCCTAGGCGCCCCCGAATGCCCGAGAAGCGCCTATTAATTTTTTCAACCATGGTCATACTAAAGAAATAAAAACGATATATTACATTTTATGTAGTGAAAATTAACCTCGTTGATTGAGTGGGAGGAAAATACAAATAATAGAAAAAAAAAAAATGAGTTACAATTTAAAATATCAATAGTTGATCGCTATATCAAGAATTTAAAGAAATAAAATAAAGTAATTGTACTATTAGAACTCGTTTGCATATATATAGGCCGGTCTCACATATATAGAAGAGATAGAGAGGGTGGGGGTGGGGGGTGGGTGGGGAAGAAAAGCTTTTAATTTGTATGTAATGTAATGATGTTCCTCAAAAACATTTTGCCATTTTACAGTGAGCTAAGAAAGAGGTAAGAGGAGAGAAAACAAAACACTACACACTATACTTCTCTTTCAAATTCCAAAACCACACAAAACAAAGATGTTTGATGGTGTGCCAGACCAATTCCACCACTTCATAGCTTCCTCAAGAGTCTCACTTCAAATTCCCTTCCCTTTCCCACTTCATGCCACCACCTCACCGCCACCACCACCGCCACCACAACCACCACCACCACCAGCGCCAACTTTTTCGACCTTTGATCCCTACCCGTCCCACCAAACCCTTCAACCCCACCACCAGCACCACCAGCACCAGCACCAGCACCACCACCTCCACCACCACCTGTCCCCACCGCCACCACAACCCAAGAATGAAGCCTCCAAGGAAGACCAAACAACAACACTCCTTTCCACAAGCTTGGTGCTGGAGAGGGAGAGATCATCAGCATCAGCAGCAGCAGGAGGCGAACCGGGCGGTCCATGGTCTAATGAGGAAGTTCTTGCTCTATTGAGGATCAGATCTAGCATGGAGATTAATTGGTTCCCAGATTACTCTTGGGAACATGTCTCAAGGTAGGCACACACACAATAACTTCAAGATCTAATTAATTAATGACTGCATTATATATATATATATAAAGCAGCAGTGTTTCAATTATTTGTAGGATGGAGCTAAATTAAAGCTAGCTATATATACATATATATCCTAGCCTATCATCATATAGTGGTGTTGATGATGATGATGATGATATATGATTAGAGAGAAGTGAGGTTTTGTATTTATTGCATGTTTGTACTACAAACACCCCCATGAAAAAAAATTCAGTGTTGCTTTTGGAAATCTGCTGGGGCTTAAAAATTTGATCAATTTCAGGGACACTTTTTTCCTCTTCTCAACTCTGAAAAACTTTCTTTTTGTTCTTTTGCTGTTGTCCACTTTTTCAACTCCACCAATTCTTCCTATATTCCCACATTTCTGCACTAATTCCAATGCCTACCTTAGTGTTATATTAGACCACACAGTTTTAGCCAAAGGCTAGCTTCCATGTGACTAATATTTGTTTTATACACATATATCTTGGGCGGAGGCTGGTAAAGGTAAAGGCCAGGCCAAATTCAGCACCCAACTTCTCGAAAATATATATGTGATGACAGTCTATAGAGCTATAGCTTTTTGCGTAAGTGGTAAGCGTTTGATCTTGACAATATATATATGGTGGTGCAGGAAGCTTGCAGAGCTTGGGTTTAAGAGGAGCCCAGAGAAATGCAAGGAGAGATTTGAAGAGGAAAGCAGAAACCTTAACAGCCTAAGCTTCAACAAGAGCAGCTTCAGGTTCTTCAGTGAACTGGATGAACTGTACCAACACCAGGGGGGCGAGGGCGATCATCACAAGAATTATCAGAACGAAGAATCGGTCCAAACACGAAACGATAATCATCATCAACAACCCCCGCATAGACGAGAACGAGAATCAGCAGCAGCAGCAGCAGCAGAAGCCCAGAGCCTGGAAGAAGGGTCAGGGAATGTGGATCATAACAGCACGACTTCGAGGTCGAGCAAGAGCAATAATAATAATGGTGGTGGTGATGAGAATAAGAAGAGGATGAAGAGGAAGGGGAAGAGGAAGAGGGAGTTGGAGATGTTCAAAGGGTTCTGCGAGGGGATTGTGGAGAGGATAATGGCACAGCAAGAGGAGATGCACAGCAAGATTATTGAGGATATGGTGAAGAGGGAAGAGGAGAAGATTGCTAGGGATGAGGCTTGGAAGAGCCAAGAGAGGGAGAGGCTAAACAAGGAGATTGAAACCAGGGAGAAAGAACATGAGATTGCTAGCAATAGACAGGCCAAGATTATAGAGTTCTTGAACAAATTTGCTTCTTCTTCTTCTACCCCTTCTTTACATTCTCCCTTAGATCAATCACTTCTCGACAAAATTAATGATCTTTTTCACCATCCCAAAAACCACCCAACTTCCCCTTCCTCAACTCACCCTCACAATGATGAGAAAATGGGCACCAAGAAAGCCAAAAAAGTTTCATCTTTTCCCCATCAAAACCCTACTTCCAATAATAATCCAACTCCTCAAAGCAGCACAAACCCTAGCTTCACTTCACCAAAAGTGCCCACAGAGACACTGATATTGCCCTCCACAACAACCATGGATTTGGGTGATCCGGAAGAAAACCACCCTACCCCCCAGTCTAAAGACACCCAAAATGGAGGGGGAGATATAGGGAAGAGATGGCCAAGGGAAGAAGTGTTGGCACTGATCAACTTGAGATGCAACAGCCTAAGTGATAATAATAATAATAATAGCAAAGATGGAGGAGCAAAGGGTCCTCTTTGGGAGAGGATATCTCAAGGGATGCAAGAATTGGGGTACAACAGAAGTGCCAAAAGGTGCAAGGAGAAATGGGAGAACATAAACAAATACTTTAGGAAGACAAAAGATAACAACAAGAAAAGATCTGTTGATTCCAGGACTTGCCCTTATTTCCACCAGTTGAGCAGTTTGTACTGCAGCCAGGGAAAACTTAGGGGGGACTCGCCGGAAAACCGCTCCTCCGCAGATTAGCCGGCCGGAAAACCGCTCGCTGGATCATATCGGAGCTGAGCTGCCAATAATGCAGGTGGAGTGGAGTTCAATTTTAAAACTCAAATTTGAATTTTATGCATGTGCAGTAGCATTTTTGTCTGTGATTAGATTTAGGTGGTTGAGTATCTTTCTTTGGTGATATTGAAGTATCAAAATCCATTCTGACAATGTTTGTTTGATTACATTATGGTTTCTCAGACACCCTCAGATGCCATAATATATATAAATATAAATAGTTGTAATGTCTACATGTGGGAATGAGACTGAAATATGTCACAGACTACACACATGCTCCAACAATTAATTAGTCCTAGCTACAACGTAACCTTATAGAATTACACTATACCGGTGTTTGATAAATGGCTGTTAATTGATTGGGTTAATTAGTGTGTTTGACTAATTGATAACATTAAGTCATTAATTGATTGTAAAAAATTATTTGGTAAATTAGTTGTTAGTTATTAGCTTATTACGTACATACAAAATGACTTTCTCAAAAAGCTGATCGAAAAAATTACTTTAAATAACTGTTTGAATTTTAGCATTTTGAAGCAATAAGTTGTTGTTACAAAAAGCTAACTAATCAAACACTCATATTGGTTGTTTTTAGTAACCATATTTTTCAACCGATTTTAGTAAAGTCCTCAGCCAATTAAACTGGTTGAAACCGGAAAAATATGAAAAGACAAAAATGTCTTTACTAAAAATATGAAAAGTCATGAAAATGACTAAAAGTGTCTAAAAAATAATAGTCTGGGATGTTAAAGGCAAATTATGCTATGGACCCAGGCCCAAAACGCACCTCTAGAATAACGGTACTATTAGTGGCACCGTTTACTCAGTCAATGATTTTTTTTTATTCTTTTATTTTGTGAATATAGAGTTCAAAAATTATAAATATAAGTTCAAAAATTATGAATATAGATTCAAAAATTGTGTTATACTGTTGAATATATAGTTTTGTAATTGTGAATATAGAGTTCTTTAATTATGAATATAGAATTCTGTAATTGTGAATATAGAGTTCTGTAATTGTGAATATAGAACTCTGTAATTGTGAATATAGAGTTTTGTAATTGTGAATATAGAGTTCAAAAATTGTGAATATAGAGTTCTGCAATTGTGTTGAGTTTTTTAATTTTGTATATTGAGATATAAAATTGTGAATATTCTGTTCTAAAATTGTGAATATAGAGGAACGAATTTGAAGACAAACGACGAGGAATGAAGCAATTTTTATTTTTTTTGAAAAAAATTCAGATGGCGTCGTTTTGAAGCAAAACGGCGCCGTTTTGGATCCGGGTCCACCTTGAGTCCATGGCATAACAATTAGATGTTAAATGACAAAAACAATAGTCTGAGACTAAATTTAGTATTGCCACAAAAGATAAGGGATCTCTGGTGGAATTAACTCTATTAAAATGTACATTGTATTCAAGGAAAGTATATTATTTGAGTACTTAAAGTACATTATATTGTATAATGTACATTCATCAACGAATAATGTACTTTTAATATATTAAAAATGTAATTTTTGTTATGGTTCACACAACACTGTGTAGATCATGGTCCACACAATAATTTGCCCATTTTCTAGGCACGAACTAACCTACCTGCCTTCTTTGCCAACACCCACAAATTTTACTGTGGACCATGGTCCATATAGCAGCATGGATCATGAAGTAAATATCATTTTAATTACACTTTAGATTCATTTGATAATATTGCTCTATTTTTTAGTGTCATTTTTCACACACACTAGTTACATTATAGCAATACCAAAGTATCATTTTAATTCTATTACATTTTCATTTGACAATATACATTATTGCATGATCTCTATTTTTTATTTTCATTTTCCACACGCACCCGGTCATTTGACAATATATGTTATTATATGGGCTTTGAATTTTAGTTTCATTTTCCAGACACTAATTTCATTATAGCAACACTAAAGTATTATTTTAATTATACTACAGTTTCATTTGACAATATATATTATTGAATGAGCTTTGTTTTTAGTTTCATTTTTATTTTTCATATATACTAGTTTCATTATAATAACATTGTACTAAAGTATCATTTTAATTCTACTACAAGTTTATTTGATGACTATAGTTCACTGAGCATTGTGTGAACCATGCATGGTCGACTGTATAACAACTAGGCAACACCATTCAAATTGATTAATACGTACTCTATATAACTATTTGTAATGCTTGCAAAAGGAAATAAAATTATTCCAGAATGATCTCTAATTTTCCCTCCTAGCCATTCATTGCTTCTTGCAATTAGGGTTTAAATGTGTCAAGTTACTCGTGAATTATTTCAACTCAAATTGATAAATATTCGAATTCAATTTGTTTATTGTCAAATCAAGCTCAAGTTTGAATAATTTACAAGTCAAATCAAGATTTTATATGTTTATATATAACTACAAATTTACAATTTTAACTATATGTATTTATTAAAAATCTTTCTTCTTCTTTTTTTTTTTAACCCTTATTTTTCTCAAAAATAGCCTTTGATTTGCATCTTGAAACTTGAATCAAGTCAATTTGAAGCTCAAAAAATAGAGTTGAACCAACCTCAACACAAGTAGTTTCACATAAAAGTTGAACAACTTTGAAGCAATATTGTTTGTTATCACCCAATCATTTTAGTAAAGTATTCCAAATCGATTTTTAACTCTAATAAAATGAGAACATTTGATACCAATAGAATCAATGCATGCCCATATAATGCTGTGAATAGAAGAAGCAAAATTACTTATTTTCCTATTATTGCGACCAGTTCCACAACTCCCAAGAAACATTCTGGTATGCAAGCAAATTAAACAATGAAAAATACTATGTCTACTTCCATTTCCTACTATCTACTTTTACTCCCACACTCGAAATTAAATCTTGATGTAAACACTTTTATTGGGACTCACATTAAAAAAAAAAATAAATACTTATCAGTGTCTGTCATATTAGGGTGTAAGAATTGGAAATACATGTCTGCACGGGATTAGCTCAATGATTCAGTAGGAAGTATTTGGGAGAAGAGGCCAAGGTTCGAACCTTGGCGGCGACAGCGTGGGGATTATGCCCAAAGTGGACAGATCCCTTGTACGCACTGGCATTTGAGCCTATTTGCTGAGTCATTGAGTCACGGTAATTTACATCCTTATCACGATTTAGAGAGAGTGAAATAAGGAAAGGGCTCTATGTATTCATTCATCAATCAACAACCGTATGAATCCATGCGATGAAACAGTAAACAGTGTTGCTGCTATAGTATTTAACTGCCAAACTAATCTAACAAGATTAACTACTATTTAACTGCTTCTTGTAACTAATCTAATACCCCCCTCAAGCTGGACTGTACATGGAATGAAGTCCTAGCTTGGAGACTAGATTGTGGAACACCATTGGTTGTAAGGGTTTGGTTAGTATATTTGGTTTTCAGTGGAGACATATACAAGCTTGATGATTCCCTTCTGGATTTTCTCTCTTATCAAGTGACAATCAATCTCTATATGTTTGGTCCTCTCATGGAACACAGGATTTTCTGCCATAGCAATGGCAGATTTGCTGTCTGAAAATAACATGGCTGCATTATCCACATGAACTTCAAGAACCTTCAATAGATAGATCAGCCACTGCAATTCACGCTGCTAAGGCAATGGCCCTATACTCAGCTTCAGAAGAGGACCTTGAAACTGTGGTTTGTTTTTTTATTTCCATGATATGAGAGCATCTCCTAGGAATGTGCAGAAACCAGTAACAGATCTTCTAGTGTCAGGGTATGATGCCCAGTCTGAATCAGCAAAGCCACTTAACTTCAAACTAGAAGTGACTGGAAAGAACAGGCCTTGTCCAGGGTTGCCTTTGATGTATCTCAATATTCTATGAGCTGCTTGCATGTGGATGGTGGTAGGAGAGTCCAGAAATTGAGATAATTGTTGTACAACAAAGCTGATATCAGGCCTAGTAATGGTTAAGTACAAAAGTCTGCCTATCAATCTTCTGAAGGCAGTGTTGTCTTCCAGAGCTATTCCATCAGACTTGGATATCTTGTGTGTCTGAACCATTGGGCATTTTGCAGGTTTACTTTCAATGAAGCATGTATCATGTAAGAGATCCAAAGCATACTTTCTTTGTGTCATGGAGATCCCTTTATGAGACCTAGCAATCTCAAGTCCCAAAAAAAAACTTCAAACTCCCCAAATCTTTGATCTGGAATACTGAATGCAAGTGATCCTTTATCTGTTGTATCTGGTCATTATCACTGCTTGCCAGAACTACATCATCTACATACACTAGAAGGGAAACAAAGGTGTTACCTGAACCTCTAGTGAACAGAGAGTTGTCACAAGAAGCTTGTTTGAATCCCATGCTGAACAACTCAGTGGTTAGTCTAGCATTCCATTGCCTGCTTGCCTGTTTCAAACCATAGAGGGATCTTCTTAGCCTGCACACTTGCCCTGGTTGTGTGGGTGTAAAGCCTGGGGGAAGGTTCATATAGACTTCTTCTTGGAGATCCCCATGTAAGAAGGCATTGTTGACATCAAGCTGATGCAACTGCCATCTTTTTGCAGCTGCTATGGCTATAAGAGTCCTGATTGTTGTGACTTTGGCTACAGGACTAAATGTATCAACATAGTCTATTCCACAGGTCTGAGTGAACCACTTTGCAACCAACCTGGCTTTGCACCTCTCAATTGTTCCATCTGCTTTGTGTTTCACCTTGTAAACCCATCTACACCCTATTGGTTGCTTGGATGGTGGGAGTGTAGTTAGGACCCAGGTGTTATTGGCTTGTAGGGCTTCTATCTCTACCTGCATAGCCAGCTCCAGCACTCATGCTTAATAGCTTGGTTATAACTCTTGGGCTCTTGTATACTGAGTATGTTGGCAGCAAAGGCCTTGAATCCAGGAGAAAGCTTATCATAGTTCATCACAGTTGAGAGAACATGAGGGGAGGTCTTTGTAACTGGCAAGTTGTAATCATAATCATCAAGGTAAGCAGGTCTTGTCACCTGCGTAGTAGATCTTCTAGGTTCTACTGGAATTTGCTCAGGTTGCAGCTGGCCTGAGTTATGACTGTCTGAACTCACAGATATTTCAGCACTTCTTGGTTCCTCTCTTGGATCCTCTCTTTGAACCTGCCTTGGAACAACAACATCTTCCACAGTACCACTGCCATTTGGAAGGATCAAGGATGGATGGGGCAACTTCTTATCAACCTACCTCTCTAATCT